TTGAAAAGCCAAATTCCATGTAGTTTTTGAATGCATTTCAAGTGTTTCTGAGCCTTCTTAGGGGTTAAGTGATTATGGATCTACCCATGATGCTCTGTTTCTCCGGTTGAGAAGCTCTTATTGATGCCGTGTTTCACTTAAGCAGGTTATGTTGTTCATCTGAAATGTACATGTAGGCTAAAGTGGAAGCAAGGCAGTTATTGTGCAAGATTTTATTTGGAGTGTGATCTGACAGTTATTACATGATGGAATATTATATTTTCATCTGAAATAACTGATTCATCAAGTTCTGGAAGCTTTTTATGGTTTCATTTTGTCCAATGTCATTTGTGATACATTTTGCTGAATAAAGTATTGTTTTTACAATACATTTAAGGCACGTCATTAAGTGCTGTTCTTGTGTTGTGCTTTTTTCCTGAATATTTTTAGAAGTAATTTGATTTGCAGTCCCTATTTGAATACAAGTAATTCAATTTTACACAAAAAGTATACTTAAGTCCAAAGTGGCAAGGCTTTTTATTTGAATTAAACTGTGGTATGACAGGTTATTTCCATGGAGTAATATCTACTGAAATTGCTAGTAGTACTGTGAACCAAGCAATTTCAAAAACAAATGCAAAGTTAAGAACTTTCAACATACTAAAGAATAACTGATAATGGCTCTTTGCAGTCACGGTCTTAATTGTACATTAAAAAGGATAATTGTATTCAATATTTTGTGCTGTTGAAATAGAACACAGCCTTTAAGTGATGATAAATGAGAAGTTCTTACACTACAAATGTTTTTCTTATGTACACCATTTGCATAAATGTGGCTTATGTTTGAACAAATCAGAAAACCCGTGAAATGTAGATTTAGACAAGCCTCTTAATGTACACTAATCATGAAATAAAAAGGCTTATATACAAAAAAAAAGTAAGAAAATCTATTTGGTCTCAGATAGGGTTAAGGTTCTAGAAATGGACTAAAATGCATGTTGAATTCACATTCTTATCTAATCATTGACAGTTTTCAAACCATGATGAGGTGTTAAAGTGTTATAACGCTGAACATTCTGTGATCTTCACAAAAAGCAAACCTAGAAAAGAAAAGAAAAATATTTAACACCAGTTTGAAGAATATACTCTAAATGTGTGAATCTAAAATTATGCTGCCATATATCTTTGTAGTTGCAATAATTTCCAGCAGGTGTCAGCATGGAGGGACTGGATTTAATGCTGACGCAATTTTGAAAACTTCTGAAACTTTAAAACAGTGGTAAAGTTCATTGATGGATACAATATGACAATTACACAATTTCTCACTCTCAGTTTAAGTTGTGTTTCTTTGTTCTCGTTTATGCCATAAGCTAAGTACTCATGTAGAATGATTCTGTGAATGCAAGTACCTCATAGAATATAAGCAGGATGTAAAAACTCCTTGGGGACTATGCCAATAGAGCCATCCAGCTCTCCAACCCACCATCCATGGATGTTATATTCCTAGTTTAGACAAATAGAAATACAGACACTTGTGTGAGGATTTGGTCAACGATCAGAAGACAACAGCGTACAATTATTTTTCAACTGATTTAGTTCAAAGGTAATACATTGGATGCATTTCATTGTATTAGATACAAAATATAAAATCAATTCATCAGCAAACAAATTATAATAGCCATTTTTGCATATATATTGTCTCCAAATATGTTCAATCTATATTCATACGCAGTCTTCTGTCACAGAAACATTGAGCTTAGCCACTTAGGAACTGATGCATGTGTGATGAGGATTTTTATCTGCAGAATCATAGAAAATGAAATGCTGTGGCAAGAGATGGTACTTATAGTGTTCTTAAGGATGTTTACTTAGTTGTTTGGATCATCAGGGCTTTAAAACTGCACATAAAAACAACGTATCATGATGTTTATAATACAACAAAAATTTCATGCACCTGCATACAGCCATTCGAATGCAAATGTAAATGTTAATTTAAATATTGAAACACAGATTTACCAATTTCTGTGGTAATTAAAGAAGTGTGCGGTGAATCTGTTGTTAGAAGTTAGAGACAATGATTGCCGCTAGAGATATTGACATAAGTTAGGGGACTAGTGTTTGGATAACATTGGTTCTTGGATGCACAAATGATAATATCAGGGTGCTGGAAAAGTATAATAACAGGTTATGCCTTGAGGGAAGCAGAGGAAATCTCTATTTATTCTTTTCTTGAAGCTCTTTGTTTTTCCACCATAACATTCTCTTGATTCACTCCTCTCCAAATTCAAATACCTTTAAGAGCTATTCCAGGCCAAAGCTCTTCAGAGTAAGAGTGGAGAGAGCCCCAGATCTGGCCTTAAATGAATGAAGACAGATTCAGGTGGATGGGTTTATAACTGAGGAGATTAAAGAATATGTGATACACTGATAGTGAAAGACTGAAGTGTTTTAAGAGCTTTAGTATTCTAGCAGCACACACTGTACATTTAGACATGATGAGCATGT